TATATCTTCAGATAAAATGTTTTGTCACTATTATTCTTTGGATCTGTTTGTATTGTTGTAATTTTAGATGACATTATTGTTTGTATAGTTATATTCCAGTCAATTTCTTTAGCTTTTAAACCATTTAATCAGTTTTGAGTGAGTTTTAGGATTCTTTACTTGCCTACTTATTTCATCTTAAACAAGATCTTCCCAATTGTTTTGAAGAAAAGGTCTCATTTAAGTATTGCCATATTATTCATTATATTTGACTCTTGGATCTTGATTATACCTTTGTGATTATCTATTAGTGTTGTTACTGCAAGTTTATCTGCTCTTTTATTTCCATAATTCCCTGAATAATCTTTTATTTTGATTCAGTTGACTTGTATATTTTGTGCTATTATAATTTCACAGATTGTATTGATCAGACTTTTGTTTGGGCTTTCTTGTTTTCAATTCTTTTTGTATCTTCTTGTAAGTCCCCCCTTTATTGCATTAATTTCTTTCTGACTATCTGTGAAAATATTTACATTCTTATATGCATTTATTGTACAGATTGCTATTATTATCATCATAAGTTCTACTCTTGTAGAGGATGGGGTGTCTTGTGTTTCAGCTTGAAATATTGTGACTTTTATATCTCCTCTGTTATAGCTATCCATCCAATTTCCATCCTGCTGTCCTAGTAGCATATTGTGTATAAGCCATCTGTATATATCTGTAGGTTGTCATATCAAATGAGTTCTTGTACTATTTGTTGAAATTTGAGAAGTGTCCTAGTTAGATCCTTAAGTTTCTTAAGAATTAGGGTCTTTACATTTGATAGTAGATCGAGGTGTATAGTTGGAAAGAATATATCTAGAGGCCATATATTGATTCTTCTTAAGGCAAGCTCAATATCTTGTAGAGAAGATTGCAATTTATTGATAAAGAGTTTCCTTGTGTTGGTTTCATATTGATTAGAAATATATTCCTTTGTACTTTTTTGAATATTTATGTTAATTGACTTTATCATAAGTTGGGACATTATACATTGTTGTTGATCTTTGTAATCTTTTCTGAGCTCTGGATTATTAAAGGGGCAACCTTTATACTTGAACATTGGAGATTTCTGTTCTTTCTTAATCATGTGATTGACTATTATGTGTTAATTGTTTCTAACTTTCTTTTTCTTTATTATTACTATTGTTCCATTCTTTTTTGTTGCTGACTATTTGATCATCTGTAATTGTATAGAGGGTAGCACCGGCATGTTGATTCAGAATCTGTTTATCGTGGATTTGCTGTTGCTATTAATTTCTAGGGGTTCTGTCCTATTCTGATACTCTGTCCTTATTGTATCCTTATCAAATATGATATCTTTCAGTTCCTTGAACCAGAGTGGTTCTATCTTGTTTTTCTAACCTGGCTTTCATCTGTTGCCATGACAAGTTTCTTGTTTTGTTATTGTTGAGTAACTGGTCATAAAAAAGGATTTCTCTACATCAGAGGGAATATCTATATTTGTCATACCATTCCTTAAACACCATTTTTTTTTTATTGTTTTGTCTTTATTCCTAACTAGTTTTTCAAACCATGTGTATTCTACCAGAGCGAGTGTAATTTCTTAAAGCTTTAGTATGCTGAGGATCTCATTCATCAGGCTTTTTCTTTTCTTGATCCAAAAGGGCAATCTATCTGTTAGGATTGATGGTTATATCAATATTTATTCTAAAAATGCTGTAGTCTATACTGTGTTGTTATATTGCTTAAGTTGTGACTGTTTAGTCTATTATAGAGATTTTTTCTGTATATGAGAATTTGGCTATCTCATAAGTTAAATAGTTTATAGCCAAAGTCTGCATAAATGATATAGTTTGGGATTGTTAATGATGATCCAGCCTTGTGCTTAAAGACTTTATTAATTTTGTCACTTATTTTATCACTAAAAGAACTAGATTATTTAGTAGGTATTCTAATACTGGAAAAAGGGTATAATTGATAATACTGTATATCAGATCTATTTATCAGTTATCTTTTTCCATAATAATATTCTGGTGGTGATATTAACTTTCCTTCTGATGATATTCTTTTGATTGCTTTTTTCCTATCTTCTGATATTTATACTCCTAGAATTCTAGTTGCTTTACTGTGTTGTAATAGAATAATTTGTGTTCCATTTAACTGTATACTTGTTTTCCTGTTCTCCTTATTTACATTGACACAGATTAGTGATGATTTTTTACTATTGACTTATATGTCATTAATCTTTATGAACTCTATTGCTATGTTCAAGATGGCCTACATGTTGACTTGATTGTTTGTAAACTATATTGTGTCATCCATGTAAGCCATTGCAGTGACACTGGTTTTCTTTATTGTTTCACTAACTATTTTCTCTTTGTTTGGTGGTATTAAATTTAATGAAACCTTTGTTTCCATTGTATACCCTATGTATTTGTCTTCGATCTTTTGCAACAAGGGATTATAACAAATTCTTTATAGAAGTGGGAAGTAATAATGGGTCTTTAAAGTATTTAGCATATAAAATTTCATAGATCATTTATGTTTCTTTTTGAGAGACAAAATTTATAGCTCTTCACTTTAATAGGGACAAAAGTCAGGAAATATTATAAATCAATAATTTGAATAATGGAAAATGATTGTGAATAGTTTTTTTATAGTTATTAATTTAAAAATTTTAATGTTTCCTAGTGAGGAACATTTGACTTTTGTCCCTGTCTCCTTCTTTAGGGACTCATCTTTAGTGACATATACTGTACATCTTGAAGTTCTATTCAAATTCAAATAATTAGATTTGTGATTATAAAACTTTCACTTATTGCAAATCTTCTTGCAATAGAGAATATAATCCATCTTATTTTTGATATTCATAAATCTCACATATATTGAATAAAATTTGAATAATCTCTTGATTCCTTTAATAGAATCTTTTTGCAAATCTTTTTCAATGAATTTCCATTGACATCATTAATTATCTCTTTCTTTTTAAATTTTTTCAAATCACTCAATACCCACTTCATATATTTCTTTCCCTTATTCTTGTAATAGTCAACATAATATCTTTTATGAAGTTGTGCTTATTTCTGTATATAAAGATCTTCATTTGTCATAACCTCAAATTAAAACATAATATATCTGATCTTATCCTAATTGTTATAATAAATATCAATAATATATTGCTTATAGATGTTGATAAATTCTTAATTATTTATAAAAAATGCTTTGCTGAATTTGAACAATATGAAATTAAAATATCAATATCGATCATGTTTAAACAATGACATTTTGCAATATATTTAATAAATAGTTAAATAGTTACATTTATTTATACTTTAAATATTTAATTATCAAAATATAATCTTGAATAAATACATATTTATCTTTCATAATATCTAAAATCTAACATTTAAAAATCTAATAATTATAAAATATCATCTAATCAAATTTTTATCTAATATATTACAAATCAAATTTACAGTAAATATTACATTATCTTAATTATATTATTTATACATATATTCAAGTTTTATTTTTCTTTCTTATATATAACCTCTTTAATATATAAATCTATATACTACATCTATAAAATTATCTACATACTTGAATAAAAATATACCTATGAAACTATCTACTCATATATTAATAAATAAATAATATTTAATCATTATTTTATATTTATAAATAAATATATACTTATTTTTTTTGAGAAATAATTCTTTATTCGTTTGCTTTTAAAACAAATGATGATTCCACAAAACAAAATACAAATACATATTTATTCACAACAATATGATTGGTTAATTTTAATGGTCTTAAAAATCTCAGAAAAATTTAAGTATTAATAAAATTAGCTACTTTCACCTGGTCTAGATAAGTTTTTCCAAAGTTGTTCAAAAAGAATACCATCAGATGCATTTTTTTGCAAAATAAACATCCAATGCCTATATCACATTCAAAAAGTTTTTCTATGATTGATGAAAATTATACATCTAATCCACCTGATTTTTAGCTCAAAAAAAATAATCCAGAAAGTTAAATGTTCCAGTAAAACACTAAGAATTTTTTTTATTACATAATTATAATGGGTTTATTAGGGAATCCATTGATAAGACTAATTCAAAAGTATCCCTTAAATTCTTAAACCAGCGATGATCCAAATAAACAAAAAATTATATATAAAAATATATATAATATACTATATATTTCAAATATTTTTTATACTGCATATATTATAAGTTATAAAGAAGTTTGTTTATTTTATTTTAAAAAATTAATATTGATAAATTTTTTGCTTTTTATATAGAAACAGCAATATACTAGAGAAAATATTTTTAATAAAGTTTATAAATAGATAAAATAAATAGATTTTCAAACAAAATGTTTTGATTTTCTTGAGGATAAATTGATATACGATATCGAAGGGTTTTTATTTCTACAAAGAAGATTCTTGTTTAAACAAAAATAATGTTTTATTGGTTATGCACATTGCTGACCATATGCAAGCCGGATTATTTTTTATAATACTATGTGAAAAACCCTGATTCACTATGCTTATACTGTGAAAATTTTTTATACCTAACTGGTCTATACTCAAGTGTCGGGTTATTTAATTTATAAATCACATAAGTATCTACGATTGGGAAAAGACTAATGTGACCAATGAACGCTTATACGCGATGCAAATCCTTTTACTTACAAAAAAAAAAAACAAATATTTTGCGAAACCTTTAATAGTCCTTTATTATTGGCGTAGGTAGTATAAACTAAAATTTCTTGGCTCATGTGTGCCAAGAAAATCATGTGACTGTATGAACACGAGAAACTCTTGGCATGATTCCTATTTAAGAAAAGAAAATTTCTCGGTTTGGGCTTGGCGCTTGGCATTCCAGTGATCTTTATTATGTATCGTCTTTTTTTTTTTAAAAAAAAACTTTAGGTTGAACGAATATTCCAAAGTGTGAATTTTATCGCAAAAAAATACATTTTCCTATTAAAGTCATCCCTGTACAATATACTCTCCTTGTTAAATATAATTCGAAATACATCATGCAAATTTCTATGCTTGTATTCGATGCTTCGATACCAACACCACTACCTTCGTTAGCTTTCACGGCACTTTTTTTTTTCGCAACATCACTTAATCTATACCGATTAATAAAACTTGAACAGAGGGTATATATTTACTTTCTCTTCTTTGGCATCCTTCGCACAACTGCCTTCTGTCTTCGATTCGCATGGTCATTAAACATAAATTCCGAAGAACTGGCCTTGATATCCGGAATCGGCATATCAGGATTTTTCTTTTTAATAATCTTTGGAATATACGAGCTTCTGGCAATCTGGATTGAATCCATCACCACGACCACGCATCAACAAGGGACGAAAATAGCTGACTTCATAATTCAAATGGTTAAAATAACGAAATACGTTTTGCCTGCATTTTCGGCAGTTGGAGTAGTAGGCGTAATTCAAAAGTATAGTTCTCAAGATGATAGCGTTAACCAAGGGGAACAAATGAGAATAATTTCAACTCTCGGATTCCTGTCATCATTAATATTGTATATAGTTTACATAACCTATTTCGCACTGGCATATGGCATCACTCCTATCAGAAAACAACTTAAAGCTTTATACTTATATATATGTGGAATTGTATTGTTAATTGAATTTATATATAGAACAGTGATGATTTTTACCGATGCGACAGATATAACAAATCAATATGTATGGTTAATTTGTATATTCGAGACATTACCCGAACTGATACTATTAGCTATCTTGAATGGCATAATATTAGGACGTTGGTTTTTCAGTGGCGATATTTCTGGGGAGGAAAATAGCTCAAAGACGAGATCATCAATCGTTTCTCTGAAAGTTTGAACGTGAGTTACATTTAAAGGAAAACGAGGCGGAGTGCATTTGGAAGGATAGATTAAATCATATATGAACATAGTATGTATACAGTATGAACCATCTCACAAAATTTCGCCGTGTATTTATTTCACAATTCAACTTCCTTAATCACTATTGGTGTCGTATCCACTTTACTACGCATCGACTTTAGATTTGCATTTTGTATCATACGATTTACGTAATTAAAAAAAAAGACTTTTAAGTCACGAATAACTACGAATGCTAGATTCCATTTGTAGAAAAATAAAACCCGAAACCATGTCAATGTTGGCATTGAAAAATATTTGCAGTTATTATACTAAATTAATTATTTCGCGCACTTGAAGAAACTCGAAATTACTTCTACGTATCAATTAATCAGAACATGTATCTGTAGCGTGAAAAAAAATTTAGTGGTTACTTCATTTAAACTGTGGAACTTATATTTTAATATTTATGCATATGCAAAAGCAAAAAAAAAAAGATATGAAGAGAATGTGCTCGGAGAATACGGATCGAGGTGGATATTTCGCGCAGACACCGATTTGACTGTCAACCCAAGTCCGTATCAAGATCTATTACTTTTGTCCATTCCGAAAAGATTTCTATACTTTACCGAATCAAAAACTGATAAGACGCGTCACACATAAAGGTAATGAGGGTTGAAGGGGACGAGAATACCGGAATTCGTTCTTTCATAAATCTTTTTATTTTGAATTTCATTTCTTACGGATGTCTACATGTAAAGTGAAAAACTTCTTTGGACCTTTATCCTGTGACGTAATACCATAATATTACACTCTCTCATGTATTGATTTCTCATTTTACGTAGCTTGGCTCTCCAATGAATTCAATAACTCTTCTCGCTCTCTTGTTAATCCCTTCCGTAAATACTTGTTCATCTGACTCATACCCCTATTCTTGATTCCCCTGTTTCTCTCTGCAAGTTCGACTATGACCACCGCCAACTCTTCATCGATCTCGCCATATATAGTACAGTGTATGCAAGGTTTCGATTGATACTATGATATTCTCCAATAAGGCACTTACCTACAGTATTTTGCGTGCTGCGATTCCCGCATCGATGTATGGTGAGAGAAAAGAATTTTTGTATAATATTTTCAAGGACTCTTGCCTTAAGTCCATTGATCTAAACTTTTGGTTTGATAAACGGATCGAGAATTGAATTAAAGATGAAAGGTGCTGCCTATTGGCTTCGTAATATTCTTTATAACTGACTTCCAAATGCTTGACGTGGATGGGTAGTATTGATTCAATATTTTTAATGAGAGGAATAACATCCTCGATCTCAAATTCTCCATATTTACACAAACGCCAAACACCGGCAATAATTTTCGGATATACTGTAGGTTGTTCGTGCGAAAGACTTCTCTGCGACAATCGTGCGAAGGGATATTTGAACTTAAATAAGCCTGACAGGTTGGTTTATAATTAGAGAGTCTCAAATAAAACCCAACCTCTATACTTTTAATATTATGAGAATAGAGAGATACACTATGTTTATACGTTCCGTGAAATCATCGTGAACCGATTTCTTTCAATCTCACAATAAAACCATGATTCCATCGGAGAGACTTTAATCCTCCAGAACTGCCAACGATCAATTGGCCAATGAGATTAGTGGCAATACCGAGTTTTTTTTTTTTATTCGTATCGTTTGGTATTGAACACTTTTAACCATTTTGAAACGGATTCTTGCAAGGAGGATGTATTAATAACGATGGATAATTAAATAGAGGTTTGGACGAGTCTGATAAAATGGTGACTCCAAATTCGGTCCATCGATGTTTCTCTTCATCAGTCAAGCGAGAAGGCAGGAGAAAAGTGATGTGGTAGTCGAAACGTCCTGAAGGTCTTCCAAGATTTTAATAATATAACCCAAATCACATGCCAAAACAGGCGGAATTTATTATATAATGCGCGTTTTCGGAATTTATTAGATTGGAGTTATAAGATCAATCGGATTTTTTGAAAAAAATAAAAAAATGGGTTTCTTATTTTTTTGTTTTATTGCTTCATATTATATTACTGTATACAGTATATCGAAATTATCTATTTATTTATTTATTTGAAAACTGGTTCATTCTTATTTGTACGTATTTTTGAAAATTTTAGAGTTAAAAATTATATCCTCAAAAATAATAATTCAAAATTATAAACTTTAAAATTATAAACCTAAAATTATAAATTTAAAATTTTATTTTTTTATTATTTTTTTTAATTAAAATTATATTAAAAATTTTTTTTTTAACCCACAGTCAGGTCAGCATGACATGTCTTTATTGTATATATGCTAGGTATTTACAAATTGTTGTGACTTTCATATACTGACTCACTCGTCATCAAAAAAATTATTTTTCTAAATGTAACCTAAGGAATGATATTTTGCTTTTTTACTAATTTGGATAATTCCTCCAATTAATAAAATCATTGTTTATAAATCATTACTGTAGATCATTCTAAGTTCTGTCCGTAGTTAAAAACCAAATCACTTTATTCCATAACAAATCCAATTCTTAATAATCACCATATACTTTTTTTCTTTTCTTCTATTTCTTTAATGTTTTTTAGATTCGAATCCTCTAGAGATAATGGCAATTCTTTTTGGTCTTGTTCAGTCTGGTTGTCAGGTCTTGGCTTGGGTCTCTTGTTTCTTTTGTCCTCTTCTATAATATTATGCTGCTTTTTTTATTCTATAACTTTGGCACAGTGAGTATTTTAGATCTCCTTTTTAAAATTTGCTCTCATCTTCTAACAGAGTTTGTCAATTATACCCTGTGTGTTTGCTGGTGGAATCTTGAGCTGCTCTTTGAGATACTGTACTTTTTCAAGGAGGTGGTTTTACTTTCTTCTATATATCCACAGATGGTATTGAAAAGGCCCCTGTCAGATTTCTAGATCTCTTCTAACCATTTGTCTGTCTAGTCACTTATTTTAGATTAAACTTCTTTCTTCTCTTTTATTTCTTTACCAATAAGTTTATTGATCTTTTTGTTTACCTTCCACCATAAATTCTTCCAAGTTTCTCTAGGGGCTGAACATTCGAAAAGATGTTCTAGTGTCTCTTCATGAAGTTTATATATTGAACAAGTGGTTGTAATATACATATATAGTTTTTTCTTCTTAAGTATCTGCAGAACTGAAAGTTCATTGTAAATTAAGTTAGTTGGGAAGCTTTTGTCTTTATTGGTTTTAAAAGAAATATCGAAGATATTGGTCAGATTAAACTGGTTTCAAAAGGTTGGCCAGTCTATAATTTTATTATTTTGAATCCAAAGATCCTGGATCCATTTTTATATTATCCAACCTAGTCCAATCTTTTTCTTATTGAATATTTTAATGAAGTTTCTGATATCAATTTCTATTGTGTATTCTTACCATACTACTATCATGAAGACTCTTTCTAGTTCTGATGACTGATGCCAAGTTATTGGATTCCCCATCTGACCTATTTAGCAAGTAAGTCTACTTGATTGTTAAATCTATTGATTCTGTAGGCTTTAACCTTTAGATTTTCCAGATTTAGATCATTCTTCTTTACTAGGTCCTTGATCTTATTCTAAAGTGGCCAGTTATTAATCTTTGTCCATCTTCTTGTAGATATCTTTATTTGTGAGTAAATAGATTTTCATACTTTGACTGCAATGTTACAATCAGTGTAAATTGTAACAGTTGTATTTTGGGAGACTGTATACAATGCAGTGAGAATAGCTAGTATTTCAGCCCTGGTTGCTGATGGCCATGTGGATGCTCCTGCTAAAAACTGTTTAACTATTTTGTCCTCTTCTATCATGATCCAAGCTAAACCCATTTCTAATTTGCAATCTGTCATCTTTTTTTTATAAGAGCTATCTGTATAGAAAATAAGTTAATCAGTCATATTCCTTTTGTTATATCTCAAGATGCTCTTAAGTTTGTCTTTGTGTTCTTCTGTTTATATAACTTTTTCTATTAGTGTGATATCCCAGTTTTCCACTTGAATCTCTACTTCGACTGGTCTGAGAGTTGGTAGAGCTACTGTTTGCTGAAATGCATTTGTTTGCCAGTCTGTAGGGTTTCCTAACAGAAGGATCTGCATCTTTTTTCTTAGATTATTATGTTGATTGAGTTGTGGGAGAAGATGGATCTGTGACAGGACTACTTTTAATGGCTGCTCTATACTATCTGATTACAGATAAGTATTGTTACTAGTAGAATCATATACTAGCTGATATGAATAAAATAGATTTTATTGTTTATGGTTGTTGTCTTTCTTCATGTATCTATTGAAGTATTAGCCTAATCTGTCCAGTAAATCTTTCTTCTATCTGGGTTTGTTGGAAATGCCTTAGTTTTTTTATTGTAAATTGACCATTCAAGCTCATGTAAAGAGTTTTGTATAAGATTTTGATTTACTATTGTTTTTTCCCTCACTTTTTTGTACCAGAAAAAAACTGGTCCT